AGAGAGTACATTCCCAGTTCTGCTCTCAATACAGTGTTGCTCGTTGTACTTGAACATCCTAGTATTTTCTTGGCCGCTGCCATCTGCACCGTTCCCAGCTGCTTGACGGCCTTTTCGTTACCTTCCCATACCTCTCCTGCATACTCTAGCTTAGGTACAATCACATTCAAGAGAACACACCTCTTAATCCTAGTGTCTAGGTGTGGGTCCCTCTCTCTCCAAAGAAAAAAAGGCGAAAAGGCCGGCAGCGTTGAACAACAACAACAACAACAACAACATCATCAGCGATGAACCCCGGACCAACCAAACGTTCCCCGCTTCCTCCGCCGTCGCTAACAGCAGTATGTGTGTGTCCCGCCCCCCTTGTCCATGTTCCCTGTCTCTGTGTAGTGCGTGTCTTGCCAGTAGCAGCAGCAGTGTGTGCAGCACGGCAGTGCGTCGTGGTTTCTTCTTGCGTGCGTGTAGTTTGTTGCCCAAAGAAAAACAAAAATGACGACGCCTCCCGGGGATGCGTCCATGTGACATATATATTTGCACAAACGGTGTGCTATCTCGAGACACCGACCACGGATTGCAAAGGTAGCAGTTGGGACAGCTCGCGCAAAATGTTGCTTGTTGTGCGCAAGTTTTAGTTTGCAATTTGATGCCGAGATGGTGAAATGGGCTCGAGTCTGCTGGCTTATTTATGGCTGGTCAGACCGTCGGACAGCCTTGGCCCGTTTGCCCCCACCCCTCTAAACAGCTTTTTTTTTTTAACAAAAAGCGTCCCTATCGGGCCACTTCTCTTGAAAAATAAACTATTATGAACTACTTTATTTTTTAGAAAGGTGTAGACCCCCCGATCAATTCGCTTGTGACCGCGGAAGGCGGCTGCGTCAGTTGGACCAGTACGGACATTCGAAGGTACTGGGTTGAGACGGGAACGGTTTGTAATGTAAAGACAACAACAACAACAACAACTACTACTACAACTACTGCTGCTACTGCTGTAGGTGGTAGGCATGGACTAAACTGCGTGTAATGCATCCTGTCTGTACATCAGCAGTGTACACTGCTTTGTTAGAGAGGGATGGGTGCGGATGGCATTTCCCCGCACCCGAGATTTCGGAACGAGGTCACCCGAGCCGAGGGCTACACACAGAAGTCACGCCGCCTCATAACGATATTGTTATCATATAGGGAGAGTGATTTGAAGCACGTCATCTTCCCTCAACATCTCACTAAACCGCTCAACCAACATGCCTTCGTCAAGGGCCCTTGTTTATTTGCTCCTTTTTTTGCAAATGCATATGCAGATACGTACGCATATCTTTTCTACATACATGCGAGAACCGGTGAATCGACGTTTATGAACCCATGAAGTTGCCCCGTCTGAACGAAAAACCCGTTGCCAACAACTATGTTACCGTAGATGAAGGTGGATTTTTTTTCAACGCAACAAATATTCCACTTTGACACGAGAAATGAATGAAAGGCGGGTTTGCCCGAAACCTGATCGCCGATGGTTGAACTTGTTCGAACCGCGTCGAACCTCCCGACTCACCAGGAACTGGAGCACCTTCTAGAGACGCTCCGCGGATGTGGCCGCCAGGTAAGCTTTCGTGCGGAAGTGGCCAACACCATGAACTTGACGAGGCTGGTAAACTCGGGCTGCCTGATGCTGCACTACGCGGGCCATGGCAACGGCGAGTACCTGGCCTTCGAATCGACCACTGAGTGGATGTGCGGGATCATGGAGCCTCTCAAGGTCGGCTGTCGACGTAATTGCGATCGATTTCGGCTTAATTTTTTTTTCGTCACACGTTGTTCGGCGTCGTTGTGCTGTTGCCTTTTTGAGCAGTAGGACAGCGTAGCGCAACCGCAGCAGACATGAGGCTACCGGTGTCCTGTGTTCGCAAGAACAGATGGATGCAACGCATTTTCCCATCGATTTTGCGTGACCGACTGTCCTCTTACGTGACCCCGGCTGATACGATTGGTCGAGCATCTACACCGAAAGGTCTGTGGACGGGCGCCAGAATACAACGGGACCAACACATCACACACTGGTCGGTAGAACCCTTTGACTAATAGGGCGTTCGCGATTTTTTGTCCCGCTTCTCAGCAGCGTAAGACTGAGGTCTTCTCGTTGGTTAGCGCGGTCGATGCCAAATAAACACACATGCCCTTAGTGATGGAGCACTAGCGCGCTCGATGGTAGTTGAAATAATGCGATTCAACACACTCTGTGATCGAGCTCGACCTTCATTACATACACTACACAGGTGGAATATCTAGAGAACCTGTTCCGGGTGGGTGGGATCGTGCAGACGCAGCTGGTGTTCATCGGCTCGTGTTCCTCGGAAGTGAGCGGTAACGTCTTCGTAGCGGCAGGCGTGCCGCACGTCGTCGCCGTCAAGCACAACTCGGGGGTAACAGGTAAGCTTCTCGGCGAGAACAGAAAACGGCGCACCGCCATCCACAAACGAGTGCGGCAGCTGGAAGTGGGCCCTTTTGCAGAGATGGATCCCGAGATGACGATGTGCCACAGCAGTACCAAGTTTTGTACGACATTGCTGCAGAATCCGTCTCTTCCTACCGGTGTTATTATGTAAAGCCAAGAATGTCCGTAACCCCCCCCCCCCCCCCCCCCCCCCCCCCCCCCCCCCCCCCCCCCNCCCCCCCCCCCTCGCATGATCTCGCGAACGCACCGTATCGCCGTTGCTGCGTCCTGCTGCTGGGTATCGTGGCCATGTCATGCAACGCACCCTCCTCTGACGCCAGGTTTTCCTGTCCGTCCTTTTTTTGTTTTTTTTTGTTGTGTGTTTCAGACGGGGCGGCCCGGGAATTCGCGACCGTCTTCTACGACGCGCTCATCAAGCACGAGGTCACCGTGAAACGGGCCTTCGACACGGCGCTCATCTGCATCAACGCCCACCGCTGCCCACCCAAGCACGAGGAGGACCTGTTTCTCCTCCTACCCAAAGGCGAGGAGAAGTCTTTTGGCTGCTGTACCGCAGAGCGTTTAAGATTGGGGCGGTTTCAGCACGCCCCGTTCCAGGAAGACCAGCCATTCGTGGTTGAGCATGTTGGTGGTATTGCTGTCTCAGAAAATCCAGGATCGTTTCCAGAGTGGTGACTTTGAGCGCTATTTTTGTCGATATTTACCATCTCCCCTGTGGAGTGCTCACAAAAGAATCGAGATGTGCATCCCGGAAGATCTAGCTCTCTGTCTACACACACCTTCACCAACACCTTTGGAGTAACCTCCCCCCCCCC